ATGTGGTAGCCGTTTCTCAGGCTCCCTCTCCGGAATCGAACCCTGATTCCCCGTCACCCGTGGTCACCATGGTAGGCGACGGACCTACCATCGAAAGTTGATAGGGCAGACATTCGAATGAACCGTCGCCGCCGCGAGGGCGTGCGATCGGCCCGAGGTTATCTAGAGTCACCAAAGCGAGGCCGGGGGCGGACGGCGGCGGGTAGGCGTGAGGCTCCCCTCTCCACCGCCCGCGCACCCGCATGGGTTTTGGGTCTGATAAATGCACGCGTCCCCGGGGACCCACCCCACCCCGCCACATAGGGGGAGAAGGGCGGCCCAGGTCGGCGCTCGTTGGCATGTATTAGCTCTGGAATTGCCACAGTTATCCAAGTAACCGGGAGGAGCGATCAAAGGAACCATAACTGATTTAATGAGCCATTCGCAGTTTCACTGTACCGTCCGTGTGCACTTAGACTTGCATGGCTTAATCTTTGAGACAAGCATATATTACTGGCAGGATCAACCAGGTAGCCCCTCACACATCAGGTAAAATGCCAGAGGGAGAGGGGGGGAGAGGCGGCGGTTACCCACTGCCTACCCGCCACCCATCCGGCCTTCACGCAGAAGGGGGGTTGGGGTATGCCGCGAACGGGCATGGCTTCTAATCGAGGCCATCACCAGGAAGGTTCGTGCTTCGTAACGGGAACAACTGCGCCAGAGATGCCGCGCACACCTACCCGGCACACCAATCCTACCCCGCCGCCAGCCAACACGCCCGGGGTCCAGCCCGGGAGGGTGGGGAGGACAGGGAGGGATGCTGCCCGGTTAAGGCGCACGCACAACACCAACTTACGCACCTATTCCCGTCAATGTAGGACAATCCGAGGCAGACGGGCCATCTGAGTCTATTTCACCCAATAAGCTAGGGTCGAGGACCGGGTGAAGACCCACCTCGCCCTCCTTTCGAATGCCCAAATCGGGGAGGATCTCACCCCACCCACAGCGGTCCCCTTTGTCAGATGACCGGGCGAGGGGCCTGCCCCTGGGGCATCGCGCACAATTCCCATCGGTCATGTGGTGGAAGGCGGTGGCACGTAGTTACGCGCTCAAAACCTAAGTCCGCTAAATCACGCCTTCCCCGAAACCTCGACGGCAGGTCAGCGATAACCAGCTACGGTTACCCGGACGTCCGGCAGGGAAAGGCCCGAGAGGTCACACCCTGCCCGGCTTGAGGCCAGAGCTCGAGGGTCATGGATGTCGGAGTGGACTGGTGATTTAAGGCTTCTCGCTTTCAGAAACGGTACCGATGGTTACCCACAACTAACTTTGCAATGAAACTGTGCTGCTGGTCACCCAAAAATAACTTTGTCTCTCAGATTGGTGCTGTTGGTTACCCACAACTGACATTGTGCTTGGCTTGACTGACTGGCCTGGCTGGCTGGCTGGCTGGCTGACTGGGGGTGGGCTGGCTTGGCTGGCCTGGGCTGGTTGGGTTGGCCTGGGCTGGCTTGGCTGGCCTGGGCTGGCTGGCTGGCTGGCTGGGCTGGGCTGGACTGGCCTGGCCTGGCTGGCTGGCTGGCTGACTGGGGGTGGGCTTGGCTGGCCTGGGCTGGCTGGCTGGCTGGCTGACTGGGGGTGGGCTGGGCTGGGCTTGGCTGGCCTGGCTGGCTGGCTGGCTGGCTGGCTGACTGGGGGTGGGCTGGCTTGGCTGGCCTGGGCTGGGCTGGGCTGGGCTGGGCTGGCCTGGCCTGGCCTGGCTGGCTGGCTGGCTGGCTGGCTGGCTGGCTGACTGGGGCTGGGCTGGGCTGGCCTGGCCTGGCCTGGCCTGGCTGGCTGGCTGGCTGGCTGGCTGGCTGGCTGGCTGACTGGGGGTGGGCTTGGCTGGCCTGGGCTGGCTGGCTGGCTGGCTGGCTGGCTGACTGGGGGTGGGCTGGGCTTGGCTGGCCTGGCCTGGCCTGGCCTGGCTGGCTGGCTGGCTGACTGGGGGTGGGCTGGGCTGGGCTGGCCTGGCCTGGCCTGGCTGGCTGGCTGGCTGGCTGACTGGGGGTGGGCTTGGCTGGCCTGGGCTGGCTGGCTGGCTGGCTGGCTGACTGGGGGTGGGCTGGGCTTGGCTGGCCTGGCCTGGCCTGGCCTGGCCTGGCTGGCTGGCTGGCTGACTGGGGGTGGGCTTGGCTGGCCTGGGCTGGCTGGCTGGCTGGCTGGCTGACTGGGGGTGGGCTTGGCTGGCCTGGGCTGGCTGGCTGGCTGGCTGGCTGACTGGGGGTGGGCTGGGCTTGGCTGGCCTGGCCTGGCCTGGCTGGCTGGCTGGCTGGCTGACTGGGGGTGGGCTTGGCTGGCCTGGGCTGGCTGGCTGGCTGGCTGGCTGACTGGGGGTGGGCTTGGCTGGCCTGGGCTGGCTGGCTGGCTGGCTGGCTGACTGGGGGTGGGCTGGGCTTGGCTGGCCTGGCCTGGCCTGGCTGGCTGGCTGACTGGGGGTGGGCTGGGCTGGGCTGGCCTGGCCTGGCCTGGCCTGGCCTGGCCTGGCCTGGCCTGGCTGGCTGGCTGGCTGGCTGGCTGACTGGGGGTGGGCTTGGCTGGCTGGCTGGCTGGCTGACTGGGGGTGGGCTTGGCTGGCCTGGGCTGGCTGGCTGGCTGGCTGGCTGACTGGGGGTGGGCTGGGCTTGGCTGGCCTGGCCTGGCCTGGCTGGCTGGCTGGCTGACTGAGGGTGGGCTGGGCTGGGCTGGGCTGGGCTTGGCTGGCCTGGCCTGGCCTGGCTGGCTGGCTGGCTGGCTGACTGGGGGTGGGCTTGGCTGGCTGGCTGGCTGGCTGACTGGGGGTGGGCTTGGCTGGCCTGGGCTGGCTGGCTGGCTGGCTGACTGGGGGTGGGCTGGGCTTGGCTGGCCTGGCCTGGCCTGGCTGGCTGGCTGGCTGACTGAGGGTGGGCTGGGCTGGGCTGGGCTGGGCTTGGCTGGCCTGGCCTGGCCTGGCCTGGCCTGGCTGGCTGGCTGGCTGGCTGACTGGGGGTGGGCTTGGCTGGCTGGCTGGCTGGCTGACTGGGGGTGGGCTTGGCTGGCCTGGGCTGGCTGGCTGGCTGGCTGGCTGACTGGGGGTGGGCTGGGCTTGGCTGGCCTGGCTGGCTGGCTGACTGGGGGTGGGCTTGGCTGGCCTGGGCTGGCTGGCTGGCTGACTGGGGGTGGGCTGGGCTGGGCTTGGCTGGCCTGGCCTGGCCTGGCCTGGCCTGGCTGGCTGGCTGACTGGGGCTGGGCTGGGCTGGCTGGCTGGCTGGCTGACTGGGGGTGGGCTTGGCTGGCCTGGGCTGGCTGGCTGGCTGGCTGGCTGGCTGACTGGGGGTGGGCTGGGCTTGGCTGGCCTGGCCTGGCCTGGCTGGCTGGCTGGCTGACTGAGGGTGGGCTGGGCTGGGCTGGGCTGGGCTTGGCTGGCCTGGCCTGGCCTGGCCTGGCCTGGCCTGGCCTGGCTGGCTGGCTGGCTGGCTGACTGGGGGTGGGCTTGGCTGGCTGGCTGGCTGGCTGACTGGGGGTGGGCTTGGCTGGCCTGGGCTGGCTGGCTGGCTGGCTGGCTGACTGGGGGTGGGCTGGGCTTGGCTGGCCTGGCCTGGCCTGGCTGGCTGGCTGACTGGGGGTGGGCTGGGCTGGGCTTGGCTGGCCTGGCCTGGCTGGCTGGCTGGCTGGCTGACTGGGGGTGGGCTTGGCTGGCCTGGGCTGGCTGGCTGGCTGACTGGGGGTGGGCTGGGCTGGGCTTGGCTGGCCTGGCCTGGCCTGGCCTGGCCTGGCTGGCTGGCTGGCTGGCTGGCTGGCTGACTGGGGGTGGGCTTGGCTGGACTTGGCTGGCTGGCTGGGGGTGGGCTGGCTTGGCTGACCTGGCTGGCTGGCCGGCCTGGGCTTGAAGCCGGGAGACATGGGCCGGCCTACGACCCCACCACATGGAACCCGTTCACCAGCCGTGCCCGGGCACCCCACTATTAAGCCCGGGGACACTGACTTTGTTAAATTGCACTTGCCAGACTCATGTGCTGCTGGTGACCCATTTCAGTAATGCGTGCCGCTGGTGGCCCTCTTGGCCTTTACTATTTGGATTTGGGGGCTGCGTGCCGCTGGTGACCCAATCGAGTATTGTTTGACGCTGGTTGCCCACCTCGCCTTTACTATTTGGATTTGGGGACTGCGTGCCGCTGGTGACCCAATCGAGTATTGTTTGACGCTGGTTGCCCACCTCGCCTTTACTATTTGGATTTGGGGGCTGCGTGCCGCTGGTGACCCAATCGAGTATTGTGTGCTGCTGGTGACCCACCTGGCTGTCACTACTGGAGTTTGGCCGGCCGCCGTTGGTGCTCTTACCGGCATTATTCTCTTGGTAGACGGCTGGCTGGGCGCAGCCACAACACCGCTATTGAAGCACCAGAACTTCCACTTCACCGAGCCACGGGGCAATGCACACCCGGGGGAAAGTGTGCAAGCCTGGGCAGGGATTGGCAGACATGTCCCGGTGATCTATAGCCACGGAGTCGGCTGGGCACCACCAACCCACACTCAATCTATGCACCATGCCCAAAACGGACGACCAGAGCCGGCTTGCGGGGTAAAGGCGCAGCGTGGCCGTTACCACTAGCGGACATCACTGATCGGCCGAGCCACGGGGCAACGCACACCCGGGGGGAGATGTGCAACGCCCGGGAAGGACCCAACAGGACGCACCGCAAGGCAACACACACGGAGACACCACCAACCCACACTAAACTTATAAACCATGCCCAAAACGGACGACCAGAGCCGGCTTGCGGGGTAAAGGTGCAACGTGGTCGTTACCACTAGCGGACATCACTGATCGGCCGAGCCACGGGGCAACGCACACCCGGGGGGAGATGTGCAACGCCCGGGAAGGACCCAACAGGACGCCCCGCAAGGCAACACACACGGAGACACCACCAACCCACACTAAACTTATAAACCATGCCCAAAACGGACGACCAGAGCCGGCTTGCGGGGTAAAGGTGCAACGTGGTCGTTACCACTAGCGGACATCACTGATCGGCCGAGCCACGGGGCAACGCACACCCGGGGGGAGATGTGCAACGCCCGGGAAGGACCCAACAGGACGCACCGCAAGGCAACACACACGGAGACACCACCAACCCACACTAAACTTATAAACCATGCCCAAAACGGACGACCGGAGCCGGCTTGCGGGGTAAAGGTGCAACGTGGTCGTTACCACTAGCGGACATCACTGATCGGCCGAGCCACGGGGCAACGCACACCCGGGGGGAGATGTGCAACGCCCGGGAAGGACCCAACAGGACGCCCCGCAAGGCAACACACACGGAGACACCACCAACCCACACTAAACTTATAAACCATGCCCAAAACGGACGACCGGAGCCGGCTTGCGGGGCGCAGGCGCAACGTGGTCGTTACCACTAGCGGACATCACTGATCGGCCGAGCCACGGGGCAACGCACACCCGGGGGGAGATGTGCAACGCCCGGGAAGGACCCAACAGGACGCCCCGCAAGGCAACACACACGGAGACACCACCAACCCACACTAAACTTATAAACCATGCCCAAAACGGACGACCGGAGCCGGCTTGCGGGGCGCAGGCGCAACGTGGTCGTTACCACTAGCGGACATCACTGATCGGCCGAGCCACGGGGCAACGCACACCCGGGGGGAGATGTGCAACGCCCGGGAAGGACCCAACAGGACGCACCGCAAGGCAACACACACGGAGACACCACCAACCCACACTAAACTTATAAACCATGCCCAAAACGGACGACCGGAGCCGGCTTGCGGGGCGCAGGCGCCACCCTGGAGATCTAAAATATGTATCGCTCAAAACCTAAGTCCATTAAATCACGCCTTCCCTGAAACCTTGACGGCAGGTCAGAGATAACCAGTTACGGCAGCCCGTACCTCCGGCAGGGAAAGGCCCGAGAGGTCACACCCTGTCCGGCTTGAGGCCAGAGCTCAACGGTCATGGATGTCAGAGGACCGGTGGTTTATTGCTTCTCGCTTTCTGAAACGGTACCGATGGTTACCCACAATTAACTTTGCAGGAAACTGTGCTGCTGGTTACCCAAAACTAACTTAATTTGCAGAAACGGTGCTGCTGGTGCCCCAAACCGAACTACTGGGAGAAAGTCTTGGGCTGTTTATTTTAGTCTGGCTGGAGTAATATCAGTTTATATAGACCTAATAAGCTTGTTAATATAATTAACCCCCTAAGAATTTATTTGTCAAACAAACATTTTTCATGACTTGTCACTCAAAAGCATCTTGCTATGGCTACTTCTATTATAATGTAGCCAAATTAGGTTTCTTGAAAGTTTTCTTGCTGTATAAGCTGTTTATTTTGGTATTCTTTTAACGTTTGTTGAATATACAGAATTACATTTTAAATACACCCTTTTACTTAATGAGCTGTTCATCAATGAACCTTTTTTTTTTTTGTAAAAACTGTGATATTTCTATTGCATCCACTCCCATATTAAAAATACTATAGTAATGTATACTGTAGTGCTTTTGAACCATGTTATAAAATAGCCTATTTAAATTTTATAGTTGCTCTGGTATCACAACAACTATAAACACAACCCAATACTGAAAAAACATGTTCAAAATGCAATAATATTTACTATAAATCACTATAGTATTTTTTCATGAGGTCATTCGTCTGCGATAAAAAACGCGAACGAGATCTCCGCCACTGGTGACGTTTCCAGGTGGCTAAACAGCGAGATTCAGCAGGTGTCCGACTTCTGATGTAATTTTTGAGCCCTCCTCTTATTGCGCACGCCTGCTCTCGTTTACAATGCAGTCAAGGCGAGGCGCACCTCAAACGAGCCTAATGAAACTACAAGTGGGCGTGGCTGAATGTGCAACCCCGCCCCAGATGCTGCCCCCTTCCGGTCTGCAGGCTGCAGTCAGGGGCTTCTCAACCATTTGGGCTCTGACTTGAGTCAGATTGAAATAGTTTTGTGCTCTGCTCAGATGTCCACTAGATGGCAGTAAAATGCAGCAGTAACTCAAGCTGAGGAAGTGTGTTAAAGGAGAATAAAAGAGCACTAATTGATGGAATGTTGACAAAACAACACTCATTATATTAAAACATCAGTCATGCTGAACTCATATGATAAGGGCAGTCTAAATTATACTGGATATTTAATTGGATAAGACAGTTTCTTCTAAATACTTCATCTATCTGTAATATTATCTCCTGTTTCATTTCTCTCATATGGGGGGTTTAGTATTTATTTTAATATGTAATTGTTCAATTGAAAAACTCCTAATCAAACTCTCTATACTTCACTAACAAGTGCTCACAACATGGAGACTGATTTATAAACACAACTTCTCCTCACGGTTTTCTTATTAGGAATAATGCCAATATCCTGTATAAAAATAAATCAATATTCTTAAAAATAAATCAATATATCAATTATTTGATAATGAAGGCACATTATTTACACTTACAGAATTTATCACAAGATACACAATTCCTCCATTACAGGAGTTTACGATAGTGACTGGAGCAAAACCTGCTGGTCTACACATGCTGTACAAAAGCAGTGTATGTACATTAGCGCTTTCTGTTTATCCTCCTAAACCTGACCAGACCTCAGTCAGTATCTGTTTCTCTGGATTTAAGCTTCTAACTTCATCGAGTTTATCCCATTAAAAATGTCTGTGTAAAACTGATATTGAGTCTGAATGCTGTTTTTGTGAAAGCTTTAATGAAGTTATTTTTACATTGATTCTGGTTTTGCCAATATACTCCATATTTTTGGATTAATGTTGAAGCTTTTATTGCTCTTTAAATTTGAACATCATTTTCCGTATCTTATGAACATGTGATTTTGGGTTTTTATGTTGAGCATCGCTCTTTAAAAGATGCTGGTTTTATTATAAACTTCATTATATTATTATGTAAACTTCACATACACAAATACAAGTTTAGGAAAAGCAAAACCTCTCTTCATGATGCTAGAAAAAGAGATTCAAATGAATATAAAAGTGATTTCTAAGTCTGAAAATAGAAAAGCAAGTAAAACAGTCAACATATGCTCCTCCTTTAACATATGTGCATATAAATGTGTGTATATATGTGTAACAGGGTAAAAAGAATGTTTAATTGTCTTTCAACAAAATGGGTTATTTTGTTTATTTTGTGAGACCTCTTGTGGCAACAGTGTGTAATTGTTTCTTTCACCTGCAAAGCCCCGCCTACAGCAGGAAATGGTTGCTGAATACAGGAAGATGGTAGGTAAAATGTGCTCCAGCTAAATGTGACAAAGTTAGTATTTTAACACATATTAATAACACATACAAGCCCAATATGAACATTACGTGATGTTTTAGATCAAATCTGTCGAGTGATTCCCGTGTGTGACCTACTTTGTGTGGTTAAATTTGCTCATGCTATGTGTAGCTGGAATGATGACATTAATATGTGCAGGGGGGATTTCTTACTATTTGTTTGGGGTTTTTTAGATGCATGTTTAAATGCATACTGTTGCCAGAGGATGTATATTTCTGTTACAGGTATGTTGAACTTTTGTAAATAAATAATGTTTTGTTAAAATGACGTTATGTGGCAACACAGCAGAAAATGGTTGCTGAATACAGAAAGATGCATGTTTAAATGCATACTGTTGCCAGAGGATGTACATTTCTGTTACAGAATAAACAACGCAGAATGCAGTTCTCTGTGTCCGCCTGAGTGATTTGTATCATCAGGAAGAGAAGCGTTACATATGCATTTCCTGTAGTAAAAGTGCACTTAATGACTCTAGGTGATAACTAAAATGAGAAAAATGTGTGTAATATATTTGTGTAATTTAATAATCATATACCCTCTCCTCTGTTGATTTTGTTGTGTTAGAAAACTACATGCTGGTTCTTGTTAATAAAAAAAAAATTGTGTTGTGGTAACAGCAGTGTGTGTGTGTGTGTGTGTGTGTGTGTGCGTGCGTGCGTGTGCGTGTGTGAAGGCTCCAGAATACACAGCCAGTCTTGAACAGAGAGCTTGAGTTCAGTCTTTCTGCTCATCAGGTCGGTCATAACTCTACACTCAGTGTCTGAATCTTCCTCAGCACATCGGCTTTCACATCCCTATAACTGATGCGTTTTAGAAACACAGCTATAACAGTCGGAGAAACATTTGCTGATCTCCATGATGGTGAGGTCAAATTAAATACCTTTAATGAAAAAATATAAACCTCTGTTCATTGTCAAATATTCTTACAGAAATGAAGTCAAACTGTACTCAGTGAAGCTGCTAATGCTGTTATTTGATTGAGTTGTTTAATCCTCTGTTTTAGTTCAGTTGCTTTGGTGTGAGTCTGTGTCTGTAGTTTTATTTCTTCCTTCAGTGATTGTGCTTGTTAACAGCAGGTGTTCATCAGCAGGTGCCTGAATTCACTTATTTGTGGTCATTCTCTCTGTCTAGTGGACTAAACTAATTGACTAGTTTAAGGGCCGGGTGAATGAGGGTGTAGGGCGAGATCAGACACTCTGATTAGTTTCTTAAAAACAGGGGTTTTCTACAAAGGTAGATACATGTTCCTCTGAATGACAAGGAGGCAAATCAGCTTCTAACGCCGAGAAGGTTATTTTACCTTTATCTAACTCTAGAATTTTAACACTTTACTCTGAATTACCACAACACTTGAAATTTAACACCAATGAATTTGCTGTGTAGTCTTCTCACTACATCTAAAAGTGTCTCCACAGATTGTGGTTCAGTCGTTCACAAGCATTAAAATGAGTAAAATATTATTTTAATAATGAAGAATATCTTGATAAGGAAAAGATCATAAGTGTCACTATAAACCCTAAATGAACCCAGTTTACCTCTGCACACTACATCTGTGCCTCTAAATTATATATTCAGCTTGATTTATTGTGTTTCCACTAAACTATTTCATCTTATCAAGAGGGAAAAGATGTATAATCATGAATCTTGTTCTCCTGCAGATCTAAATATCAAGGATAAATCATATATAACTACATTTATATTAGAAAAATCCTGTTTGCAGATTTGTTTTCTTCCCACAGCAATAGTTTAATGAAACATTATGTTTTCCCAGAAGTTGTGTTCAGATATCTACAGAATCTTTTCTTAATAAAGGAAATAAAAGCCATTAAAAACAGTGCATGTCTCATCAGCTGGTTAAAGGATGACTAGAGGAAAATGAGCTGTGTTTCTGTTTTACTCTACTTTAACAAGCAGAAAACTCACATTGACTTATTATCGTATTGTTCTGAACATTTTGAGAAATGACAACAAAAAAGGGTGTCAAACATCTGTAAATGAGTGATCATTATATAATCAAAACCTTTCATTAAAGCTGTCCTGTTCTCATCTTACGACAATTTAGACAAGCTTTTACAACTATTTCAATCACTGACCACTCTATATACAACCACAGCATCAATAAACACACTGCCTTAACAATGTATTTTAATCTATGTGAATAAAGACAGATTAACAGATATATTGATTAAATAGGAGAGTGATCACCAAACACCTTCACTAATAGACAGATAATACAGTTAAACTCAAATGAGGAGCTGCAAACAATAAACAATATACAAACTGCAAGAACTAGGGCGACACGGTGGCTCAGTGGTTACCACTGTCTCCTCATAGCTAGAAGGTAACTGGTTTGAGCATTAGCTGGGTCAGTTGGTGTTTCGGTGTGGAGTTTGCATGTTCTCCCAGTGTTGCCGTAGGTTTCCTCTAGGTGCTCCGGTAAGTAGGCGGTTCATTCCGCTGTGGTGACCCTTGATAACAATCAGGGACTAGGCCGAAAAAGAAAATGAATGAATGAACATTTCAGCTAAATTTAAAACTGTTTTGGCTTCAGTCCTGACTAATCTAATGTATAAACACACTTATAATATTGAACAGCATCTGAGAGAAAGTAATAATTCATCAGAGAGATCTGTAAGGGGTGTACTCATTTCCATTTCCATCTGTAATCTTATTTTATTAGTCCAATACTGCTTTAAATATTTTTCAGAGACCTCTTGGATTTATTTCAAATACCTTTTTCTCTATTCTCATATATGTATTATATGACACTATATATACTATATTATACTTTATTAATCTTCCTTTAACACACTCGTGCTCAGAGAAGCTGCACAGATTTCTCCAGCTCCAGTGGTTTGTGTGTCGTCTTCAGGACACGCCCACAGTCAGGAGAATCTCATGAATATTCATGTCAGTGTCACTCTGTGGAGCCAATAATATTTCAGGATACACCTGTAGATCACACAGGTGTGTTTTAGTGAAGTGAAAGAGTGAAAGAGCTCAGATTGTGTTCCTGCTGCACAAGAGCGTCTGTACTTCTGCATGTGAGTTTAACACTTCTACATTACGCTGATTTGTGGAGATGATGAAGGGTTTATATGTGTGAGTGTGATTTAAATGTCTGATCCTGAAGATCAAATCCTCAAACACAGATTAAACACTGAGTCAAACACGCTCATTTAAACACTGTGTCTAAAAGCTTTATTTTTAATCCCTTTACAGTGTTTGTGCTCTTCTATATCAGACTGACTCAATAGTGTCCAATAATTCAGCATTAAATATAACTCTGAACAGAGTCAGAGTCACCAAATCAAAAGTAAAGTTAAAGCAGACCTTCCAGTTGAACAGGAAGAAAAGCTGCTGAAAACAACAAGCTGACGATCCTTAAACAACACTGCATTTAACCCTTTACAGTCGGAGTAACTCATTATAACTTATATAATAAAACAACTACAACAACTGCACAAAAGTTATGAATTGAGTTATAAATGGAGGTTAAGTTGCTTCATATTCGTACATTTGTTCATTTTGGCTAATTTAAATACTGGCTCTGAAATGGCACATAAGAATGACTTAAACAAAACATTAGCACTGTTTATTTGACTGTGACTATTGTACTTTGATAGTCGTTGACTGATAATGTGATTCATTGAGGTAAAGTTGGTCTTATATTCGCACTGTAGGAGGAGGCTGACACAGAGGGATCCGTTTGCAGTATGTTTATTAAACAGTTTAATAACAAGCACACAGTATAAACTGGTGCGTGAACTCATATGAAACACAGGCTTATAAGGTCGATGGGCAGGCGGCTGGCACTCGTTAGTCACAGTAGCAGGCATGAGTCAGGGGCAGGCAGCGAGAATCAAGATCGGTAATAACGTTCAGAGTTCTAGGCAGGCGACAGGCAAGACAAGGTTGGGGACAATCCGGGTTGGCAACAGGAGATCAGGCAAGGGTAAGTACGCTCAGAAATGTCAGCAGGGCAGAACAAGACTTCGCAATGAAGTGTGAGTGAGAGCTGCTTATAAGTGTGTGTGAGTGCTGGGGTAACGAGTCTCAGGTGCAGTGTAATCAGTGGGCCGAATGGGTAGTGGATGACGGGTAGTGGTAGTTCAATAGTTCGGTGATGGTGACCTCTGCTGGCCAGCCAGGGGAATGACTGGGACTGAGTCGGTGACACAGCCCCCCCCTGCGAACGGCTCCTGACGTGAGAGGGCAAACGACACCGGGGTCTTTCACGGGGACGAGGGGACGGCATTTCCGGATGTTGAAGGTGAAACTTTCTTAACAGAGAAGGATCGAGAATATCCTTGTGATTGATCCATGATCGTTCCTCCGGGCCGTACCCCTCCCAGTCGATCAGTCCACCTCGGCGTCTAGATCTCAGGATCTTGTGGATCTGATACATCTCCTCTCCGTGATGATGATAGGTGGAGGACCCTGTTCACTGGCTGTCACCTCCCTATCCACCTCGGCTGGAGGTGTGGCAGGATTGAGCAGAGATACATTAAATGTGGGAGACACAGGAGATATTTGTCTTTCAATTTGAAATAGGCCAACGTACCTGGGACTGAGTTTTTTGCAGGGGAGTCTGAGGCAAAGATCATGGGCGGATAACCAAACCCATTGTCCAATATGCCGGATTGGGGCGCCGATAACAATCAGCCTGTTCCTTAAAACGGCAGACGGCGTGTGACAGGTGGGTGTGGGCAGCGTTCCAAGTATTTTCACAGTGTTGGAACCAATTGTCAATAGCTGGGAATTCTGAGGGCTCCCCAGACCAAGGGAACAGTGGTGGTTGGAAACCTAGTACACATTGAAATGGAGTTAGACCAGTTGATGCTTTTCTTCATGAATTCTGAGCGTACTCAGCCCACATAAGGAATCTGCTCCAATCTCCTTGATTTTGGTGGGAATAAGAGCGTAGAAAGCGGCTAAATCTCTTGGTTGAGACGTTCTGTATTTGGGGTGATAACAAGAGGTTAAATTGATGTTTACGTTGAAATTTTTGAAGAAGGCAGACCATACTCTAGATGCGAACTGTGGACCTCTGTCAGACACAATATCTTCGGGCATACCATAGAATCGGAATACATTATTGCATAGAAGTTCTGCTGTCTTCAGTGCCGTGGGTAATTTGGGAATTAGGATTAGTCTGCAGGCCTTGGAAAATCTATCAATGACCTAGAGGATGGTGGTATGGCCTTGAGAGGGAGGAAGATCTGTGATGAAGTCGATTGCTATGTGGGACCAGGGGTGACGTGGAATGGCGAGTGGTTGCAAGAGTCCTGCGGGGCAATGACGAGAGTGTTTATGCATGTTGCAAAGGTTGCATTTCTTGATGAAATTCGTGATGTCTCCTTATAAGGTGGACCCCCAATAACGGTTCTGAATGAGATCAAGCATGCCTGTTATGCCTGGATGTCCTGAGCTGGGGTTAGAGTGGATCTCTTGTATGAGTTTTTCTCGTATTGGCGGGGGAACAAAGGTTTTATCTGCTTGGCAATCAGGTGGTACAGGGTGTTGGTTTAGAGCTTGAGAGATTTCTGTTTCTACATCCCAAGTTATGGGGGCCAAGATGAGAGAGTCGTTGAGAATGGATTGGTCCTCCTCCATTACAACCTCTTCCTCACAAAGTCGAGAGCGCATCTGCTTTGATATTCTTGGAACCTGGAATATATGTGACAGAGAAATCAAAGCGAGTGAAGAATAGAGCCCATCTTGCCTGCCTGGGGTTAAGTCTTTTGGCTGAACGAATGTACTCTAAATTTTTGTGGTCTGTAATCAATGTAAATGGGTGTCTGGCTCCCTCCAGCCAATGTCTCCATTCCTCCATGGCGATCATCTCGGATGCCCACATCGTAATTTTGTTCGGCTGAATTGAGCTTACATGAAAAAAAGGCGCAAGGTTGGAGTTTGGCTGGGTCTCCTTGTCTCTGTGATAACACAGCTCCTATGCCTGTTTTGGATGCATCAATTTCTACAACAAAGGGTAGACTGGGATTCGGGTGACATAATATTGGTGTTGTTGAGAAGCGGGTTTTTAGGTTTACAAATGCCCGATCTGCTGCATTATTCCAATTTAATTTTGTTTTACCTCCTTTGATCAGTGAGCGGAGTGGCCACCGTGCTGAAATTCCTGATGAATCGTCTGTAGAAATTGCCAAACCCCAGAAATAGTTGCAATTCTTTCAGGGTTTTGGGCTCTGGCCAGTTGAGAACAGCGTCTAATTCACTCTCATCCATCGCCACTACCTCTGAATCGATTATGTATCCTAAGAAGGAGATGGAAATTTGATGAAATTCACATTTTTTCTAATTTTGCATAGAGTTGGTTCTCAAGAAGTATCTTCAGTACTGCTCTGACATTAGTGATTTGTTCTTCAAAGGAGTTTGAATAAATCAGGATGTCATAAATGTAAACGATTATCCACTGGTTCAACATGTCTCGAAATACCTCATTTATGAAAGCCTGGAAGATGGAAGGACAGTTTGCTAGGCCAAAGGGCATTGCGAGGTTTTCATAATGGCCGCTGGTGGTAGAGAACCCTGTTTCACACTCGTCCCCCTGTTTTATCCTGATGAGATTATTTGCATTGCGTAGATCAAGTTTGGTAAAATACCGGGCTGAGCGTAATAGATCCAGGGCTGCTGGGACTAAAGGTAGGGGAAAGCAGTATTTGACTTTGATCTCGTTCAAACCTTTGTAATCGATACATGGACGTAAGCCTCCGTCCTTCTTACCTACAAAGAAGAAGCCTGCAAATGGGGGGGGGGGGGGAGGATGTTGAGGGGCATATAAATCCTTTTCTCAGCTCTTCTTAAATGTAAGAATTCATAGTTTCAGTTTCTGTTTGAAACAGGGAAAATTCTCCCACGAGGGGGTGTTGTACCAGGAATTAATTCAATGGAGCAATCGTACTCACGGTGAGGAGGTGGTTTAGTGGTCTTCTGTTTGTTAAATGCTTCGGCTAGGTGACTATAAACCTTGGGAATATCTGGGTTCACTGAAGATTCAACACTTGTAGATATGGCACTCAGCTGAATGTAGACAATAGAATGCAGACAGTTAACAAGACTTAAATTACTCCATCTTATGATCTCACCCTCTCTCCAAGAGATGTGGGAGTTATGGTTTTGCAACCAAGGATATCCTAGGATTATAGCGTGTTGGAAAGAGTGTATGATATAAAACTCAGAATGTTCTTCATGGAGAAAAACTGTTTTAAGTGAGAGTTTGGGAGAGCGGTAATTTACAATTCCTTCCCCCAGGGGGCATCCGTCTACCGCCGTGATTGCTAGGGGAGAATCACAAGAGGTTAATGGTATAAAGTTGTTAATGGCAAGTGTATAGTCCATGAAATTGCCTGCAGCTCCTGAATCAAAAATCGCGACTGTCTGAATTGTGGTATTGTCAAAACACAGGGAGGCACAGTTAAGGTTTTATTGGTACATGAAGTAAATGTGGTTGAACTGACCGATAGTGTTTTGAGTGGAGGTTTATTAGGGCATTGGACCTTAACATGACCAGAAAGACCGTAATACAGGCACAAATTATTCTTGAAACGTCTTTCATGCTCCTCAACAGACAGCTGGGTGCGACTGATCTGCATGGGTTCATTGGTACCTGGAGATTTAGATGTGACGTCCTGTGCGGGAAAGGGGGAGACCATTTGGGATGGTCATCGTGTACGGAGTAGATTATCCAGACGAATGGAGAGTTCAATGAGTTGATCCAATGATTTTCCTTCATTTCGGCAAGCCAACTCTGTCTGTAACTTGAGGTTTAAAGCTTTTCGGTTTGTGCAGCCAAAGTGCAAAAGTGTAAAGCAAATTCAGCCGCTGGTTGCTTTCCTTGTTGTATTGCTAACAATTCTTCACCTGCATTCCTGCCACCCTCAGGATGATCAAACACCACACAGAACCTTTGGAGAAAGTCATTGAAGGTTGGAAAAGTGGGAGTACTGTCTGGCCAAATAGCCGTAGCTCAGTCGAGAGCTTTTCCAGCGAGGAGGGACTATACATACTATACTATACATCCGAAAACATGTGTGGTTGTTGGTTGACAAACAATTTGCATTGCAGCAAAAAACCTTTACACTTAGCTGGGTCGCCATTAAATTTATCAGGAAACGCTAAGCGAGGGCTGGAGGGATTTTGTGCCATGGCTACTGGTGGATTGATAGGAGAGTAATTGGCGGTGAGTTGCACTGGGGTGAAGACATTTAATCCCTGGAGGGCTTTGACCAATTCCTCTGTCAGTTAGGTGAGATAGTTGCTGTTGATGCGTAGCAAGTACCTGAGCTTGGGTAGTGAGTTCGGTGGACAACACTTCCATGGCTGCTGGATGCAGGTCAGTCTTCTGTAATGAGAAGTCTGACACAGAGGGATCCATTTGCAGTACCTTTATTAAACACAGTTTAATAACAAGCACACAGTATAAACTGGTGCGTGAACTCATATGAAACACAGGCTTATAAGGTCGATGAGCAGGCGGCTGGCACTCGTTAGTCACAGTAGCAGGCATGAGTCAGGAGCAGGCAGCGAGAATCAAGATTGTTAAGTTCAAGGCAGGCGACAGGAAAAACAAGGTCAAGGACAATCCGGGTTGGCAACAGCAGATAAATCAAGGGTACAGTGGAATGAACCACCAACTTATCCAGCAAGTTTTTCCTCCACTGTGCCACTGCATCGCCCTTTTGGAATGATATTTCTCATAATCTTTTTAACCAAATAGGTTGCTTAATTTTTTTTTTTTAACCTGTGATTATAATATTTCTAAAATCCTCTTTAAACTTTCACTAAATTTCATCAACAAGCTCTTCTTGCTTGGAAAATCTGTTACTGTCACAGTGTTTCTCCTCACACCTCCTTTATTTGGAATAATGGTAATATAAGCTCTTCAAATAAATCTTTATTCTCAGTAAATTGGTTTAATAGAGACATTAATCCTCTTTTAACACTGTTTGACAGTGCAGGGAATATCCTATCCTATGAACATTTCATGTCTACTCACAATTTCCCAATATTGTTTAGAGAATTGAATTAAATCTATCCCAGTAAAAATTATTCAACTTGTTAAAAATCATATTTGCTTTAATCTGCTGTAAACCCAAAACTACATTTAGAAGGTGTTGAGTTGACTGATAATAAATGTACTAACAGACATATTCGTAATATTTTTCAGAAGTAAAATAAAATCATTCCTAGAGGCACATTTTTCTGGAACTCTACTATAGTTAATATTAATTGGAAAAAAAAGCCTGGTTAACTCCCTTCAAATATTCTATTAATAATAAAATGAAGGAAATCCATTTTAAAATATTACATCAAATTTACGCAGTAAAATCTCTTTTATCAAAGCGCATTGAAATGGAGGATATCTGTGAATGAAGAGAGCCTTTGCCATTTGTTTTTTGAATGCAACATTGCAAAGAATTTCTGGAAAAATCAGCCAAATATATTTGTGAAAGGACAAAACTTAGTTATTATTTTACAATAAAAGATGTAATTTTTCATTATGAAAAGAAATGTAACAAATGTCTTGAATATATTGTTAATCTCTTTATTTTATTGGCAAAGTTTTACATACACAAACAGAAATCTGCTAAATCTTCTCCCACATTAACCGTTTTTTGTATTGAGTTTTTTTTTCTACAGTGAAATTGTTAAAAAAAAAACATAAAATCTGACACATACATCAAATATTATGACACTTTTTATAAATTCTCTGTCAATTCCTAAAATCATCAGATGTAGAAATGCTGCACACTTTTCTTTTGTGTAATTTAATTTATTTTAATTTATTTATCTGTTTTGTCTATCTGTTTTATCTATTTGTTTTGTTTTTTGTTGACTTTTACCATTGTTGTATTATTTTTTGTGTGTTTCATTATTTGTGTTGTGTTGTGTGTTTGTTCCTGACAGTTATGCAATTAAAAACAAACAAAAAAGGCCACAGTGCAGTTAAACAACGCCTACTATCTGCAGCTCTAGATCACCCTCTAGCGGACACTCCAAGTCATTTTCTCAGGCAGTTATTCAATACAAAGAGCAACACATCGTTGTGTAAATCATATCCATTTTAACTCTTCTTTGTATATATTTATTTCTAATGATTCCAATTTATTTAAAAGTATATTTTAATGATCATATTGATTTTTAAACCACTACAGAGACACGATGCTTTCATCTGCAGTTACACACGAGAGGATTATCAGTGCAACGACACAACATGGGCCTGTTTCAGCAAGGAGGTTCAAACAACTCGGAGTTTAAACTTGAACTCTGAGTTGATTTACCGAGAGATTAAAAACTCAGAGTTTTCGGTTTCAGAATAGCTGATCTGAGTTGGGTCAATCAACTTTGAGTAGACCAACTCAGAGTTAAGCGCGCACACCGTGACTATAAAAAGGCATTATCAATGGAGCGCAGATATTATGAGTGACCATGGCAACATCTAAAAAAAAAGAGATCACCATTTCTTTCTCCAGCTGAACTTGATCTGCTCATGCAAAGTTTTAGCAAATATAAGTGTATATATTTAAAAAGAAGCAACCATCAGTGAAACAGAGACAGTTAGCCTGGGAAAACAGCTGCTCAAGTTAATGCCTAATTTTTTTATTTAAATTATTTAAACATTTAAGTATAATAAAATAAGTAATATATTGTGTGACGTTTATACTTTTTTCTAAACTTTTATACACGTTTATCAGTTTTAATAGATTTAACAGTGCACTTGTGTGTCTGCCTTTTTATTGATCAAGTGATAGAGGTTGATATAACATTAAGAACCTAAGCAGTGCTAAAAATAATTTTTAGACAGAATAATAATCCCATTAATCTAGTAACAGTACATGTCGAAGGTTAAGCTAAATATTTATGGAAAAAAAGGACAAGCCTCGTACGTGACTTTGTTCTGTGTGTGACATAAAATGTAGGCAATAGCTATGTTTCCATCAAAATACAGGCTTACATAAATTTGTACAAAACTGGAATAACGCCTAAAAGATGCGAATAAAGCAGCATTTTCATCCAACGAGTCAAAGAGAACACAATCGTCACTTCCTGATTAACTTGCGCCAAATATCAACAGTAAAAACAGAATTTACTGCGGTAGAACAAGCAGCGTTAATGATTTTTTATTCAATACTTGCGCCTCAGAAGACACAATCAACACGTGGGGGCGTTTGAAGCCAGACGCGGAGATCTTGACACGCTCCAGACGCTCGGAGGTAATTAATAATATACACTAATACTGAAACAGTTAAGGCATTTTAGAATGACTAAAACAACATTTAAGATGTTCTGCAGTGTGCTCATTCAGCTGGTTTGTCCATTCACACACATTTTCATCATCATCTCTAACAAACTTTTTTTTAATGTACATACTGTAATTTGTTAAGTGCACTTCGTAGTTTATGCGCATCTTTTCTTATCAAATAAAAGTTTAACCTACTCAGTTATGCACATGTTTTATTATGCATATTTTCAAAAGTTATGTGAATCATGACGTTTCCATCAATCGTTTTTATGCACATCTCCAAAATGAGCTCTAAAATAGGTGTGTGGAGACGTAAGACTAATGCGAGAAATACGCTTCATCTTTAAAAAAGGGGAGGAGACCGACAGAAACTCAGAGTTTAGAGAATAAAACCTGCTCCGGACCAGGTTAGATTCACAGAGTAAGTTACCACAGTAACTGACTCTGAGTTAAAGTTACCTTTCTTTCAGAAACAGGCTTGACTTACCCTGATTTCTTGGGTTTAACAAACCTGCCATTTTGAAACCGAAAACCCAGAGTTTCTTTCATTTCAGGGTTAAAATACTCTGAGTTTTCACTTAACCTCCTTTCTGAAACAGGCCCCCGATCCTCTCAATGCCTGAGCTGTTCTCATCAGAGCAGTCACACATGGGGAATATAACACAAGCTGTGCTAGACTTCATGAAGAAAGATTAGAGTATATAGATTAGAGTATATATGCGAAAGCAGTCATTTTATTTTCTACAAATCAACATTGAGCTCTATGACACTGATTTGACCAAACTGTAAACATATTATTATTATAATACACTCTCCAGTACAGCAGGTGGCGGTATTCACCTTTACGCTGCTTTCTATAACTCGCCACACAAGAACAAGAAGAAGAGGAGGAGGCGGCGGAGGATATCCAGGGGCCTGTTTCAGTAAGGAGGTTCAAACAACTCAGAGTTTAAACTTGAACTCTGAGTTGATTTACCGAGAGATTAAAAACTCTGAGTTTTCGGTTTCAGAACAGCTGATCTGAGTTGGGTCAATCAACTTCGAGTAGACCAACTCAGAGTTAAGCACGCGCACCGTGACAATAAAAAGGCATTATCAGTGGAGCGCAGACATTACGAGTGACTATGGCAATATCTTATAAAAGAGATCAGCATTTCTTTCTCCAGCTGAACTTGATGTTCTCATGCAAAGTTATAGCAAATATGAGTGTATATATTTGAAAAGAAGCAGCCATCAACCAGTTAGCGTGGGAAAACAGCTGCTCAAGATAATGCCTAATTTAACTTTTTAAGTATTTAAATATTTAAGTATAATAAAATATGTAATGTAATTTGTGACGTTTATATATTTTTTTCTAAACTTTCTTTTATACATTTATAAGTTTTAAATGATTTAACAGTGCACTTGTGTGTCTGCCTTTTTTATTGACCAATGATAGAGGTTAATATAACATTTAGAAGGTAAGCAGTACTAAAAATAATTTTTAGAAGAATAATAATCCCATTAATCTAGTTACAGTGCATATCGAAGGTGAATTCAATTTAATTATTTATTAAAAAAGCATAAGCCATTCTAGTACAGTTCTTCTGTGTGTGACTAAAATGTAGGCAATAGCTATGTTTCCATCCAAATATATTACATAAATGTATGTGCAAAACTGGAATATTGCATAAAAGATGCGAATAAAATTCCATCCAACGAGTCAAAGAGAAAAAAAATTGTCACTTCTTGATTAAACTGGCACCAAATATCAACAGTAAAAACAGAATTTACTGTGGTAGGAGAAGCTGCGTCAATTAATTCTTTATTTAGCCTAATTAATGTACTTGCGCCTTGATGTCAGAAGACAATGCTGAAACACAATGAACACGTGGGGGCGTCTGAAGCCATGAGACGCGGAGACTCTTGACACGCACCAGACGTTTGGAGGTAATTAATAATATACACTAATACTGAAACAGTTCAGGCATTTTAGAATGACTAAAACAATATTTAAGACGTGTTACAGTGTGCTCAGCCTGCTGGTTTGTTCATTCACACACATTTTCATTATCATATGATCATGATCTTTTAATCTTTTAATGTACATACTGTAATTTGTTCAGTAAAAGTGTTTCCATCGTAGTTTATGCGCACATTTTCTATCGAATAAAAGTTTATCCTACTCAGTTATGTGCGTTTTTTATGCATATTTTAAAAAGTTATGTGCATCATGACGTTTCTATCAATCGTTTTTATGCACGTATCCAAAATGAGCATTAAAATAGATGGGTGGAAACGTAAGGGTAAGGCGAGAAATACCGCTTCATCTTTAAAAAAGGGGAGGAGACAGACAGAAACTCTGAGTTTAGAGAATAAAACCTGCTTCTGACCAGGTTAGATTCACAGAGTAAGTTACCACAGTAACTGACTCTGAGTTAAAGTTAACTCTCTTTCAGAAACAGGCTTGACTTACCCTGATTTCTGGAGTTTAACAAACCTGCCATTTTGAAACGGAAAACCCAGAGTTTCTCTCATTTCAGGGTTAAAATACTCTGAGTTTTCAGTTAACCTCCTTTCTGAAACAGGCCCCTGGTATGTGTTTGTTCTGTCTTCTCTGTGTCCAGTGTTTATACTGCTTCAGGTAATATCACCCTTGTAAAATGTAACTCCGCAGGTGCTTTGATAACCCTGCAGCTGTTTGACTCTTCTCTGCTCTGTTTAGAGTGTTTGTAACGGATGTTTTTCTCTGAACTCATGATCTGCCGCTCCTTCAGAAACGAAAGTGAAAGTGTTTAGTTGCTGTGTCGCCATTTTAAACAGACAAAATCAACCATTTACAACGCAGAACAGCTTTAAATCTTTAATGTCTTGATAAAACCTGTAAGCTTTATGTGAATGTGTGTATGATGTTATTATAATCAAACTGATGACGCTGTGATTCTTCATTAGTTTACTCGTGATGAGCTTCTGGATTTGAGTGTCTCAGCTGCTGATCTATTCCTGCATTCAGCTGAATTATGAAGGCTGATCAATGACTGGAGATCTGTGATTGTTCATCAGTTTCTGCTGAAGATCAAACTCTTCGGGTCCATCATGGAGGACACACACACAGATCAGGATTTGTCTACAGGATGCAGGTATTAGTCCTACACTTGACATTTCATATGATTATTTTCTACAGGATATTATATTTACTCTCTGTTAGTTGTGTTTTTAATCTGTCTGAATATTTAACACACACAGTCAGCAAGATTTTGTACAATCATCATGAAAAGTATCATGAAGTGCTGTTTAAACAGTGTGTTAATGATGAAATGTTGAGTAAATCTGCTGTGTTGACTCCAGTGTGTGCAGCGCTGAACTTTAATCTTCTCTGTTTTAGTTCAGTTCATCAGAAGAGAGCAGAAGCAGAGTCCAGCTGTGTGTCTATGAAGAGTGACGCGTCTATGACTCGACCAATAGCATTTAAGAGTGGAAACACAGGACCTGCTGTCAGGTAGATCATCTCTTTAATATCTGCAACTGATGAGTATTTTCATAATAAATGAATCCGGTAATTAGTGTTGTGGATCTGTTGGGTTTCAGATGTTAGATGTTGTATCTGAGCTCTGCAGGATAGTGCTTGAAGATCTCCACTTTACACTTCAGGCCACAATTGATGGTGTTAACAAACCAATGAGCGCTTTATTATTAGTTAGTGAGGTAGAAGGTGGGTTTAGGTTTTGGGTAGGGTTAGGGATCCACAATAAGATCATACTGTATGACTACTAATGAGCTGTTCATATGTTCAAAGTCTGGACTGGAGCTCTGCAGACAAACCCCCAATGATTGACCTTCTGCAGACTGAGTGATGAGGAGGAGGATAAGGGGAGCTGCTGGAGGCGGGAATAACAGTCAGCTGACACAGTGCAGTTTATACTGCTGCTTATATAGTCATGTGATGATGATTGACACGCCTGCATGATTAAGCTCCTCCCACACCTACACTGTCAGCTTCATTCATTGATTCTGATGATGAGTTGATTCAGCCCTGATCTGCTCTAATAGTGCTGAGTTTCTCTTATGTCTTTGTTCTAGAAGTGCTCATTGATCTGTGTTTGCTGACATTTATCTCTGTCTGATCTTTTACTCATTTAACACATCCAGACAGTTTCTGTTCAGATATAAAGGAAATGAATATGAAGTGCTGCTTCAGGAGTTTATTTAAATGAAGAATGAGTAATATCTGCTGTGTTGAGTCCAGTGTGTGCAGCGCTGAACTTTAATCTCCTCTGTTTCAGCTCACAGAAGAGGAGGAGAGCAGAAGCAGAGCCCAGCTGTGTGTCTCTGAAGAGTGACTGGTCTAATAATCACCCAATAACTAATTTTAGGAGTGAACACACACCACCTGTTGTTGTCGTCAGGTAGATCATCTGCACACACACCTGACTATACTGCAGCATTTATATGATCATGTGTTTTCTAGAAGAGATCAGACATTATTAGACTTTATTCTCTCAGTCCACTGAAGACATTCTCCTCAACACAAGAGACTTTTACACTCAGTGTCAGCTCATGCTCATTTGATCAACAGTAGAGGATTATTAGAGTGTTAGTTCAGCGCTGCTTTCACACAATCATCACTGTTAAAGCGCTGCAGAAATACAGATGAGTCAGTAGAGGAAGGACACTTGTGTTATGACATGAGTTCTGGACAGTCAGATGTCTGAAGTGGAGGATGAAGATGAAGTGATGCAGTGTTTATATTCTGATACACACACAACTACTGGACAATGATGAGGAGTGGACATTAATGATTGATTACAGTGAGCGATAATAGACACATGATCGAACACTAAATGATCGAACACTAAATAATGATTTTTGATCAGCTCACAAATCTTCCATCAAGAAAAAAAATGCTAATATTGATAAATATTACAGAATATCTCCTATCAGAATGACCAGCTCTGACCAATCAGTATCAGTCTTGTAATAAAAGTTGATAATAACTTTAACTGGTAAGATCTAAGAGATCAACCTGCTCAGCTCTGTACAAAATATATAGCCACTGGCAAGAATATTCAACACTACTACTACTTATAAGTTATAACAGGTGAAACGCACATCGAGTGTTTAACAGGTGAAACGCACTTGGAGAAAAACACACACACTGCTTTACTAGAGGATCTTTACACTCACACTCATTGATTCTTTGTGTTGTTGTTGTTCCTGCAGTGTGGATGGAGATGATCAGACTGGAGACCTGCAGCAGGATTCACTCCAACCAGAACATGATGAACTTCAGAGAGTCAAAGAGCAGCACAAAACCAGCATGAAGAACAAGTATGAGAGATTATTTGAGGGAATCAACCATGGAGAGACTCAAACCCTCCTGAACAGGATCTACACACAGCTCTACATCATAGAAGGAGAGAGTGAAGGAGTGAATGAAGAACATGAGGTTTTACAGATGGAGAAAAGAGCCAGAACAAAACCCTCACAACACACTCCAGTCTACTGCAATGACATCTTTAAAGCCTCAGCTGGAGCAGGACATGAGGAGAAGATCAAGAAGGAGAAAGCCCAGATCAAGACTGTTCTCACTAAAGGCATCGCTGGAATCGGGAAAACCGTCTCTGTGCAGAAGTTCATTCTGGACTGGGCCGAGGGAAAAGACCACCAGGATGTAGATTTCATGTTTGTGCTTCCATTTCGAGAGCTGAACTTGATCCGAGATCATCAGTACAGTCTTCACAGACTTCTGCTGGACTTTCATCCTGAACTTGAAGATCTGGAGCCCAAGATTTATGAGCAGTGTAGAGTTGTGTTCATCTTTGATGGTCTGGATGAAAGCAGAATCACACTCAACTTTTCAGATGAGGAGAAAGTTTGTGCTGTGACTGAATCTTCATCAGTGGCTGTGTTGATGCGGAGCCTCCTGAAAGGAGATCTGCTTCCCTCTGCTCTCATCTGGATCACCTCCAGACCAGCAGCAGCCCATCAGATCCCCTCCAGATACATCAAGCGTCTGACAGAAATTCAGGGATTCACTGAGCCTCAGAAGGAGGAATATTTCAGGAAGAGAATCAGCGACGAGCATCAAGCCAGCAGAATCATCTCCCACATCAGAAAAGCAAGAAGCCTTCAGATCATGTGCCACATACCCGTCTTCTGCTGGATCTCCTCCACTGTGCTTCAGAAGCTCCTGGAAGAAGATGTGAGTGCAGAAATCCCTCAAACTCTGACTGAGATGTACATCCACTTCCTGCTGATTCAGATCAACATGAGGAAGCAGAAGTATGAAGAGAGAGATCCAGAGAAACTCCTGCAGTCTAACAGAGGAGTGATCAACAAACTTAAAGTGGCTTTCAGACAGCTAAAGATCAACGTGAGAAAGCAGAAGTATGAAGAGAGAGATCCAGAGAAACTCCTGCAGTCCAGCAGAGGAGTGATCCTCAAACTTGCTGAAGTGGCTTTCAGACAGCTGATGGAGGGCAATGTGATGTTCTATGAGGAGGACCTGATTGAGAGCGGCATAGACGCCACTGACGCCTCAGTGTATTCTGGGATCTGCACTGAGATCTTCAAGGAGGAATCTGTGATTCATCAGAGGAAAGTCTACAGCTTCATCCATCTCAGCTTTCATGAGTTTCTGGCTGCTTTCTTTGTGTTTTACTGCCATTTAACAAAGAACAGAGAACCGCTGAAGGTGTTTTTAAAATATTCATATGATCAATATCTACAGTCCAGCTCTGAGAAGTCTCTGTATGATTTGCTCAGTTCAGCAGTAGATAAAGCTGTCAGGAGTAGTAATGGTCATCTGGATCTGTTCCTGCGGTTCCTGCTGGGCGTCTTGCTGGAGTCCAATCAGAGACTCTTCCAGGATCTGCTGACACACACAGAGAAGAGCTCAAAGAACATCAGGAGAATCACACAGTACATTAAAGACATGATCAAGACAGATAACCGTCTCTCAGCTGAAAGATCCATCAATCTGTTCCTCTGTCTGCTGGAGGTGAAAGATCAGACTCTGGCCAGAGAGATTCAGGAGTTTGTGAAATCAGACAAACACTCAGAGGAGGAACTCACTCCTGCTCACTGCTCAACAATCTCCTACATGATTGAGATGTCAGAGGAGCCGCTGGATGAGTTTGAGTTGAAGAAATTCAACACATCAGATGAGGGAAGACGGAGACTGACAGCAGCTGTGAGAAACTGCAGAAGAGCACTGTGAGTATTCATTGATTGATCACAGAAGACACACATCAGTCTGCACTGAAGACTCAGATCAGTTTAGTGAATCACTGCCCTGCTTTAACAGAGAATCTTTAGCTGGCCATATCGTCCCCCTGTGAGATCGCTGATACACCATATTACTGCATGGGGACGCAGCGGCAGTGTTCTGTTTCCTTATTTGCTCATTTATTTCATCATTTCTAAACGTATTTAACAAACTTTTCTTGACTTTTTACTCACACAAACAACATTTGTACTTATTTAATAATCTACTTCATTCGCTTTACAGTTTATCCTGGAAAATAACTCAAATCCCTGTAAGTCCCTGTGCTCCTCCAGCTGAATAGGACATTTGTTGATGTGTATTTGCTCAAATCTAACACAGTGTTGCTCTTGGATAATTGTGTTTGTTTTCTGATCAGAGAAATAGTGTAATTTTAGACACAGTATTGCCGTCTCGCCGCAGACATGCCTCTAATATTACATTTACTGTAGACCTAAACACTAAACTTTACACTGAGCTCAGTAAAATACTCTCTGATTAGTTATTAATAATCTGTTCAATAATTCAGTACAGTCATATGAATGGGGGAATACAGGTTTAGTTTAGTTTAATGTAGATTAAATCAATAAAAAAATAAAAAGATATTTCTAAATTAATTAAACAGGCTTGTTCTGAGGCATGAGGGTTCTATGAGGGCCCGACGTCCATAGGTGGGGGTTGCAGCCCAACACCATGGTACAACACCATGAGGTAGCCTGACTGCCATTAGGTACTGAGATGAGATCCTCAGACCCTTGTGAGACCATATACTAGTGTGGTTGACCCTGGATTCCTCCTAATGCAAGACAATGCTGGACCTCATGTGTCTGGAGTGTGTCAGCAATTCCTGCAGTTCACTACAGTTTTGAGTGTGACTCCTAATCCAGTCCTCCATGGGTTAATACATTTGATTTCCAGTGATCATGTCTGTGTGATTTTGTCGTCAGCACATTCAACTGTGTAAAGAACAAAGTATTTAATAAGAATATTTCATTCATTCAGATCTAGGATGTGTTATTTTAGTGTTCCCTTTATTGTTTGAGCAGTATATATATATATATAGTTTATTATCAGTGTTGCTTTTATCACTGTAGACTGAACTCATGAACACTCAACACTGCTCATTTCTTACTGCTGATTGTGTTGCTCTTTGTCCTCTACACAGGCTACAGCGCTGTGAACTCACTGTTCAGTGCTGTGAGAGTTTGTCTTCAGTTCTACAATCCTCAAACTGTGTGCTGAGAGAGCTGGACCTGAGTAACAATGACCTGCAGGATTCAGGAGTAAAGCTTCTCTCTGATGGACTGAAGAGTCCAAACTGTAAACTGGACATACTGAGGTAAATGATTCTCCACTCTACAATAACTACAGTCAGACAGTTTCATATTAGAGCTGTTCATGCTTGAACATGTTAACCCTGGGTGATACTAAACCCCAGATAACAGGAATTATGGTTTATCAGTAATTGTGTTTCACACTGCTCATACTATACCTGTAGTTAACTCTCAGGGGTCTGAGGTGATTTTGGGACCCCTGAGATGTTTTGACATGCCCTGACATCTGTTTTGTAGAAATAAATATTATGTGTGGTTAGTAAGTTTTAGAGAAACAAATGTAGCTGAAATACGAATCTAAAACCAGACTGAATGTGCCTGAACAAGAGTTTAGAGTAAGCAGTCTTGTAGACTAGAATATTTACTGCACAATTATGTGGAAATTATTCTGTCCTCTCATTCAGAGAAAACATACTTGTTTTTGTCTACTTTTTGTGTTACTGCTGTGTGACCATGTAAACACTCTGGGTGACAATATACAGTGCTCAGCATATATAAGTACACCCCTCACTAATCTCTCTTTTACATTCATATTTTAATAGGAAGCTCTACAGTATTATATTTGTGCATATACAATAGATTAGCCAAATCTGGAGCTCATCTAACAAAATAACTCATGATAACGGTGTAAAAACTACTACAGACAAATTTATGTGTTATAGAAAAATATTAAATACAAATTTAAAAAGGAGGAAAAATCAAGAGAAGCAAAACAATGGATTTTTTTTTTTTGCAATATTAGCTTAAGTTTTATTGTATTATCTTTCAATTTCTGAATATGTTTGGTGATTAAAATATGATT